CCTGCATCAAATGGCATGGTCCACACATTGCCTGTTTGCCTGACAGCCAACTTCATCCGCAGCTTGCTGCTGCGTCTGAGCCCTTTCCCAGACGTTGCCTTGAAAGATAAAATTCGGTTCAGCACCTGCTAGACCGCAGTTCCGGGGTGACGGGCAGGATGCTGGCTTTAACCACGCCTTGAGCTTGCACGACACAGCTGCCTTTCAGCAGGCACACTGCTTAGTTCCTCGTGCCGGACATGCCCGTCAATGATTGCAACAGATTGCGGACACCGGCCGTCAAAGTTCGAGATTATGGCCTCTACATAGCATGCATCGAGACGAGCCGTGATGCGGATAACAGGGATTCCGTCAGCCGGGGTTCCTAAATTCTGTTCCCAGACACTTTCCAAGCAGACTCGACATCTTGGCGGATAGGCTCACCGTGCAGGATCAGCAGCTGACCTTCCATGCTTCCTGCACGCCAGCCAAAGCTCCGTCTACGACTCGACATCTACTTTGAGTTTCAACCGGATGCCACTAGCTTGGTGCATAAAGATCCCAAACCCTACAGTTGCAAGGCTTGTAGCCAAAACCCTGAACCACAGTAGCAAGTCATCATGCATCTGTCCCTTGCCGATAATTTGAAACAACCTGGACGTTGGAGATGGAGCTCCAGGTTACTGCCTTGAAGCGCGTTTGAGATCTCGTGACATCCCCAGGCCATACAAGCCAGCTTTCATCAGGCTCATTGCCCGAACGGAGCAGTAAGGAAGTTTTCGCGAAGCCACTTTTATGTCGTCTTGAGGAGCGGGATGCGCAGCATGCTTCGCTTTACCACCGCAGTCGTGCCGGCGGTTCCTCCTCAAACCTTTCACCGCGTGGTTTGAGCATCTTTGCATGATGCTCAACCCTATAAAGCACATCTCGCCCGGCCGCAGCGGTTGACCTTGAACGTCTTTACTTCTCAAGCTGCATCCAGTGTGCAGTTAAGCTTAAGCACAGTCATGAGGCATAACATGGCCGGGCCATGAGGACATCTTTCCACGAGGTGCTTCGCAAAACTGGGCCCCCTTTAAGATGCTTGGGTTAGTACAGTAGTTGGTTATAGAGCCGTCCGGCACAACGGAATCTCTTCCAACCGACAGGAACGTACAGTTAGTACATGTCGTAAACTGCTCCCGAGCAGCCTACATGTTCGCACAGCTGAATGTAGGATCCCAAATGAGAAGAGGTGTTGCAGACAACCTGTGCCTGGCAGGTTCCGTGTTTGCCCCAGTGCCGTGATGTGCACACCACCGTCCAAGTCAGCACCGACTCCGCTCACAGGATCTCGCGGATGTTTAGAGTAAAGCCTGTCCTTGCAAGTCACGGTGCCACCGAGTCGTGGCTCCTATGTGTCTGATCCGGTTGTATGCCACGGGATACGGCATTCAAAGCAAGGCCCATCAAACCATTACACTTCGGTGCTACACAGAAGGTTGCGCCACATGCGCGTTGAAACCGCTTCCAGCCTCTGCCGAAACCCCGCACCCAGTGCGGCTGCCACTGAAGACATGGCGCTCGCCGGCTCTTTGGGTGAAGTCGGGGTGATCTTTTTGCATACAGACAGCTGCCTATGAAGACCAATCTCTGCCTGTGCTGCCGTAGCCGAGCTGGCCCATACCACAGCAACTCACCATGGTCGCTGAACTAGCGACCGAAAGGTGGTCGGAGAAGTTGCTAGCAAGACCTGAATCACCTGTCAGCACAGTGTGTTGCCACGGCCGTGAAGCCGGGTGTCCACTATGTGCAGAACAAGGCAGGTCTAGAGATCCTGTGCAGCGTGTTGCCCTTCTGCTGGCTAGGGAGTGCAGGTGTTTGTGGAGGAGAATGTCCGATTCTGTGTCAGGCCATGTTCTTTGCCAGGATGCGGATGAGAGCTTCTTTCGCTCATTCCGAGCATCGAACACCATGAGTGTGTGGACACCTTATGCAAACTGAAGCATCTCTTGTGCATGGACTGCGTTACGCTGTGGCGTGGACTGTGCTGCCGTTCCAGAAGGCAGTTGACAGGTCGACACATATGATACAGTAGTGGTGAGCATACACTGTCATAAGTATGGCCCGAAGGAGGTGCCGTGCAAGCCCAAGGGCATCAACGGAGGAGAAAGTCCATTCCGCTTTCGTTGTCCATACTCCGTGATTGCACCGCGCACGCCGGTCACCGTGGAACTCCCGTCTACAAGGCGGGTTTGAGAGGGAGCAAAGCTGAACATAGTAAGAGAGTTCCCCGAGCCTGGCCGGATGGAAGCAGCTGTGCTCTCTCTTGGGCAAGCCTCTGGCTCGAAATTCTTACCACGGAGTCTCTGTGTTCTTGGGCCCGAAGAGTGCGCGGGTCCAAGCTTCATGCGATATGGCCAAGGTCCGTTCAAGGTCTGAGGGCATTTTGAGCAACCGGGTATCAGCATGATCGTGCGTTCATTCCGTCCACCAACGCGAAGATGTGCAGCTGTCTGCACTCAGATGCGGCCTTCTCTGTTTCTGTGCACTTCCGGGTCTTCTGCAGCATCAGTTTGACAACATGTGCAGCATCACTATGAGAATAAGATGATTGTTGGCAGTCTGTTGCACCGCCAGCTGGAAAGCTGAAGCCTTCCAAGCTGCACCTGTCCCAGCGACTTGAAATTCACTCCTCCCTAGTCCTAAACCCTGAAGTCCTGATGGGTCACGAAGTCTCCGACTCCAGAGCAAGCAGGCATGAGAAGTCCGGAGCAGGGCCCATGCAAATCCTTTGTGAGGACAGCCGTTGATAGCTCCGATGCTCCTTGACTCCTTGCCCCGTCATGTCAACGCACTCGGAAGTTTGGCTGCCATCGTCAGTCGAATTTCATGCGCCCTTGGCTGTCCCACTGCTTCATGCATGAGTCTGCCTGGAGCGCTGTAATCTGCCTTCCTCGTCTGCATGGGCCTCTCACTAACGCGTTCTCTAGAAGCTAACCACATCCTGGGACACAGGGTAGCCGTAGAGCAAGTCGAACCGTGGACAACGACAGCAGGATTTTCATCCGTAAGGTGATCGAGATGTGCTCTGACGATGTTGAAGCCACACGCCCAGGCAGCAGCGTGCTGTGGGCCGTGCAGCCGCCATAGACGGACCAGCCAGATGCGTCACAGCCATCACAACGCATAGAGGCTTCACCGGTCTGGCCGTTTCGTTCGGGCTTGAGACCAGCAGATGGCGGAGCTTTGTCAGTTTCGGATGCATCAGCCAGAGATCTCAGTACGACGAGCGTTGAAGCTCATCGAGAAAGTCGCTGATGGATCACGTGCACAAGCATGGTGACCATCAGTATCAGTTTCACCACACACCCCGCATCAGCCACCTACAGTGGAAAAAGTGGCAGGGACGGAAGTTCTGCAAGAAAGGGATCGGATGGTGTAGACCTTGGTGCGGGAGGACCCCTGGCACAGGGATGCCTAAGCTGCAGCAGCCCCAGTAATTATCTGTCTCCAGTCCAGGCTAGGACACAAGAGCTGATAGGCTTTGTTGTTATGTTTCGTATTCTCAGTTACAGTATTGTTGCTCCTTGGAAGTAGGAGCCTCAATTTCAAGTTCACCAACTCTTGTCCAGAGCGAGCGTCGGTAGAACGTGCACGCGCATTCTTTGTTGAACTTGTTGCCTAATGCAGCACAACCCGAAACCCCTCAACCCTAAACCCTACACCCTACATGTAGTACATTCCGACACCAGGATCTGATCATCCACTTTCACCCTACACACCCCTAAACGGAACACTTTGCAAATGCTGGCAGGGCCGAAGCAAAGCTGCAGAGTTCTGGGTTGCTTTCAGCTCTGAACTTAGGGGGTCTGTTCATTCTGTTGGTTTAGGGCCGAACCCTAGGCATAAACCAAGACAGCAGACGCTGCCTCAGGCCTGTGCCTTGGGGGCCATGGATGGCGCTCTGTTGCTCGGAAGGTTTAGGGTTTCGGGTTAAGGGGTTTAGGGTTTAGGGTTAAGGGTGCGCGGAATGTTGAGGAGGTTCTTGTTTTCTGCAGTAGGGATGGAAGCTCGACGGGAGGAAGAGGGAGAGAGACCAATAGCTGTATGCATTTAACGATTATGTATTAATGTATATGCGTGTGCATACATATGTGTACATGTATGTATACATACGTATTTGTATATATATATATACATATACACATGTGTATGTATATATATATATGTATGTACGCAGGTAGAAGAGGAGAAAAAAGGAGAGAGTCGCATGTGTGACAAACACACGCCGACAACTGCAGCGGTAAAGACATACACACTTGTACAGGTAGAGCAGTGAGTATAATCATAGGGCGATGTCCATCTGGATTGTTACACAGTATGCATGCATGATGACGAGAATAAAAGAAAACATGTGGAGAACCACTGCACAACATAGAACAACAAACGTTAAATCCACGAAGAGTGGGAATGTCTGTGTGCTGTGTCAGTGATGGGGACCAAGACATGGATGGATGGGTACAGACCAAAACAGACTCTTTTCGTGTGTGTGTGTGTTGTGTGTGTGTGCGTTTTGAAGGTCATGAAATGTTGGGTGTCAAGCTTCCAAGAGTAAGCGCCGGCGTGACGGGCGTGAAGTTTAGGGTCAAAGTTGTCAGCTGTTTTTTCTGTGTGACGCTTTACGGCAAAGACTCTTTACGATCTTAGCAATAAGAGGCGAGTCCTTTGTGAGACAGGGTCGATGTTGAATGGGTGCCACGGACTTGTATACCGTGGTTCCAAGGTTCGTCACCAGATGACATGGGGTGTCACGGTGTCGGGCTGCATGTACATAAACATATAAGTCAACCTCATATTAACAGAGCTGTAGTTTTTTCGTTGCCAGGTGCCCATTCTTACTAAGGGACTTCTAACCCCACTTATAACTATCTATGAACCCTCCAAGTAGACCCTAAACCCTAAACCCATAAACCCCTTAAGGAATCCTTACAGGAGCCCTTAAAGGGTTGCTTATAACAACCTATGAACCTCCCACTAAGGCTTCCTGCATCCTTTGCTGCTCTTTCGGAGCAGCTACAGGCTCGCGACGGTAGCTTCTGCTTGTGGGTTTCGGGTGCGTGGTTTAGGGTTCGGGTCTTCAGCGGCATGCGGTTTTCACGTCTTTGGGGGCAGGTTGGGGGTGAGGCTTCCAACCGGCATCGGAAGGTGGAGATTTTGGGCCGTGGATGTAGGGAGAGATCGGCATCATCAGCAGCAGCATCGCTAAGCAGCAGTAGCGCTAATGGAAGACATCCCATCATCACGGACATGTGTATTCGTTCAGCCTATTCACCATCAGGTTTGTAATCAGCCACCTCCATCGTCGTCACCATCATCATCAGCGGCCAATCATCGCCATCACCGTTGTTGTCGACACGAACATCATGGTCGCCAACCCCGTCCACGCCGTCACCCCACCGATTTGTTCGATCACCTCCACCATGATCGTCAGAACCACCGCCCCCTAAACCCTAAACCCTATTTTGGGTGTAGGGTTAAGGGTTTACGCTGGTGGTGTTTTGGATGTGGCTTGTCGATCCCGGACTCGGGCTAGTCATCGTCCACGCACATTTCGGGGTGCAGCATTTCAGGTGCGGTTTAGGGTTTAGGGTTTAGGGTTAGAGCATCTCCACATCCTTGCCGATGTTTTGCTAGAAGCTGCCTGTTTCCGACAGCTCTACAGTCATGCACAATTAGCAGTAATCAGCAGTATCCCAGGGAAGCCCAGCGAAAGGATGTTACTATGGAAGCCCTGCTCTCACTTCAAGATTCAAGCATCCGGATCTCGAGCCTGTGTTGTCTCCATATGTTATATTATATTATACTATGTTATATTATATTACATTATATTATATTATTATATGAACATTGCTGACCATTTGGCCACTTTTGCATCCGCGCCAAGCTATGCAGAGGTGGCGGCGAGTCTTGCATTGAGTAGGCTTTCCATTTCAGCCTGTCTTAGAAAAAAGTGCACACCCTTAACCTTAAACCCGAAGTTTTAGACCCAAAACCCAAAACCCCATCACCCTGAACCTGAAGTATTGAACCCTGCACCATCGTAGGTGGGCACGGCAGAGCTCGGGCTGCTAAACTTGTGTCAGCCACTGGGCGGGTTACAGTTCTTGCTTTCTGCTTGAGCTCAAAGTCGGTGTGCGGAATCTCTGCGATATTGTTGCTGTTGGATGATACTTTCAACGAGAGCACCTTCACAAAACCATGTGCGACTGCCGCCTTCACGGAATCATGTTTCGAGCTGTTGCGAAATTAGAGCAGGCAGTTCATGCCACAAGATAGGTTTTTGAATGACAATGTCGAAGCTTCTCGGACTTCATGCTATCTGCGTAAACCTGGGCTTCAAACCAAGCCCTTCCATTTCAGACGAGGTTTGAGAAGCGTAGCATGCTGACCCAAGAGCTTGCATTCGCGAGAATTGTTCAGGATAGAGCTGGGACGAGCAGTGGTACATGAGCGACAGGGACGGTTTTGCACATCACCCATCATCACTATCATCATTATCACCACCACCATCATCATCATCACCATCAGCAAAGTCATCCAGGGAGGTAAAATCGTTGTCTTCGGTGTCGCCAGCACCACTATCATCAGCATGATGCATGATCACTTTATTTTTTTATCTTCTCTCGTCACCAACATCATAACCAGCATCATCAACATCATCATCATCATCAGCAGCAGCAGCAAAGTTATGCAGGAAACTACAATCGTTTTTCTCGGTGTCACAGCTCCACTATCACCAGCATGATAAAAGTTCATTCAAATTTGTTTCCCATTGGGGCTTTCTGCCCCAGTCGATTTCTTTTCCATCATGACTTGTTCTCACTTTTATCTTTATCGTCACCATCGCTGTTCATCGTCATTACCAGCAGCATCATCATCATCATCACCGTCAGTACTCTCATCACCGCCGGCATTACCAACACAAGTTGAAAGCTCTGGCCTAGCAGACCTAATGATCACATGAGTTTGTGGGCCAGTCGAGGAGCATCGCTTGCTCCCTTGCCTTGCCTGTGTGGGGCTGGCTACTGCAGCTTACGTGCGGAAGGAACCTTCTGGCATCTGGCCTTCTGGCTATCAGCTTGAAGGCTTCTACAGTTTTAGGGGCTCACGAGGTTTAGTTTTTATAGAGGTGAGTTTGAGGCTTCATCCGAGCAAATCGAGTAGCTCAGTAGCACACTACGCACACCCAAGCAAGCACGTTTGCCATTCTACGGGGCTGAACCCTGAGTTTGAATTCCGATGCTTTAGCTTGAGTTGGGTTAGTGCAGCTGGGGGCAGGGTCCAATTCCCAATAGTAATACAGTGTCCACATCCAGGAAGGTTGCGGTGACTGGTGGCATGTCTTTCTGCGACGAAATGAAGTCTCGCCTAGCCTCTGACTACTTGCTCAAGCCATCGTTCACCCCTAAACCCTAAAACCCTAAACACTGAACCTTGTTTTTGTTCTTGGAGTCCCAGAATCCGGCAGGCCGCAGCGGACGTAAAGAAACCAGAGGTATCGAGTCGTGGCCAGCCTACCTCACCCGTACCTACACCCCCAAAATCAGGTAACGTAATGGCCCAGCACCTATAGAAGGATATTATTCTACATCCCTCACAAGAGCATGGCTTCGATGCTATGTTCTGACGGAATGCCTGCCGGCAACACACCAAGAGCACAGCTCGCACAACAAAATGTTGAGCGGTGGCAGTCCTACCTTCGTGCGGAGCATACGTGTCGTTTGACAAAGTTGTGGCCCTCATGGCCGTCAAATATTTACACCTGCACATGCGGGAGCAGGATCAGCTTGCCAGGGGCCGGATACTGGTGGCAGTAGCGTCAAACCTGCCGAGCACGTATGCGCCACCGACGAAAAAAGCGGCAGAACCTACATCGGCGCCATGATGCTGCAGCGAGTCATCCAAGCACGGCCGCGACAGACAGTGTTGCCAGACCTGATACCGCTGAGTCTACAGCACACCCTGCAGATACCGCATTGCACAAACCCGCGACCACAGTGATGGAGAGTTTGATTGGCAACGCTAATTGGCGGTTCTACCTGTACCCATGACCTACACTTTGGACTGAGGTTGCGGAATGTGCGTTTTTTCTTTTTACAGGACTTGGATGTTGGTGTGATGTTGCTGCGCAGCTCCTATTGTGAAGGCTCTTTAAAGAGGTCTTTTGAAGAGATTTATCCTAAAACTTAAACCCCTAAACCCTCAACCGAATGTAAAGTTCACAGCTTTTTGCGGGAAGCCCAGGCTGCATGATGTGGGGCGCAGCTACCTTCCTCTTGGCCATGAGTGCTCTGGTCGTTTGTATTTGGGAATTCTTTGGGTGTTTCGCATCAGCGGCTAGCGCCTTTGGGCTAAAGTTTAAGGTTTATGGATTTAGGGTTTAGGGTTTGAAGATTCGGCATGTTACCGGCAGAGGTCAAGCATCAAGTCTGGCTTGGATGTCCAATGTAGTTAGTGTTTTTGTCATAGCCGGCGTGCTTGCACCCCAAACTCGTCCAAGTATTTGGCCGGTTAATTTGGCGGGCTTTTCAGGTTTACGAAAAGGGGGTTTGTTGATCAGTACACTGCACAAACGTGAGTAGTAAGTCCCTGAATTGATAAGTTGCTGCGGGCCCGATTTCCGGGAACCACTCAGTAGCTGAATATTGAGCGTACACGTGGTCCTGGAACAAAGAAGCAGGCAAACATTCTTTCGGAATTGCCTTTTGGATGGGCCTACTTGTTGAGTCAGCTGCCTTGACGGGAAGCCTAGCAACCCAACGGAAAACAAAGCATAACGACTTGTCGAAGCCCACCACAACGCTTTTGCGGTAAACCCAGGCGCGCAAAGGCAACTTCAACCCAAATCGCCAAACTGACCTAACCGGCCCATCATTCCATCAGCTTCTCGGCGCTGACCAAATATGCTTCTTCGCAGCCAGAAATGTCGAGTGAATCTCGTCTGTCTGCTGAAAAATGGACAACCACGGTAAGCCCCAAAGAACTGGAAGCCCGCGACCATGAGGTTCGAATCTGTGGATTCACCTCATGCTGAGACTGGTGGTCGGCGTCTCCCTCGCTGCTCCTGCGTTGCGTTTGAGTGCTACCATTATAGTTATATAGTGTGTATGACTTGTTATTTCATATGTTGTATGTGGGTATGTATGTATGCATGCATGTATGTATGTATGTATGTATCTATGTATCTATAGTATGTATCTATGTATGCATGCGTATATATCTTCAGATATCTGTATATATTTCATTCGGTATAAACTATATAGCGTATAATACAGGTTTCTACTCGCAGAGGAAGTTCTGAGCTCCCCATCTCTGGCTTTCGCCCGAAATTTCCTCGCGCTCCAGACCGCTGCCCTGTGGTTTTTCCAGCTGAAACTGTTGAGGGTGTCATTTTTTTAGGGTTTCGGGCGTTTCTGCTCAATAAAAATTTCTCAAGCTCAAGCTGTTTCCTCTTGACTGTAGCGCTGCAGAATTCACAGCATCTTCGAATCAGTATCTCCAGACACCGAACAGCTCGGGTCTCCCGTCATAACGGCATTAGAAGATTCCAAGGGTACTGCAAGGGTACCCGTGGGATTTCACCGGCGTTTGTCCCGAATCAGGTTCCACCTCTCCCCCCACGGCCTATCAACGTGCACTTGTAACATTGTGCCGGCTTCTTCGCTAACCGGTGGGAAGTAGTCGAACTTCTCAGGCTTCTGCTGTTGTTGAAAACAGTGAAACCTAACAGTCTTCGAGATATAGCCCTCGTGGCAGAATTCCATCCTGACTTGTGAGGAGGTACCTACAGTCTCATGCCACCACAATGCTGCAAAGAAGCACTGCATGATACATGCCGTCTCACATGTCTGAGTGAGTCTGCAGCGGAGTTCTGTCAACGCTTGCAGGTCTCGATCTGGTTTGTATGTCGTGGTCTAGGGCTAGGACTCGAAGTTTAGGCAAGTAAGTTAGGTTCTAGATTGTTCAATTTCAACTTTTGGGCTTCTTGAGCCGGTTTCGAAGAGGTCGTGACCCCGATCGGCCAAGCGATGATCTGCGAGCTCTATCCAGAGTCTGGACGTGGGAAGGCGTTTGGCTGGCTTCAGTCAGCCAGTACCTTGATGAGCTTTTGCTGCAGTAGGGAAGTTAGAGGTTGAAAGCTTAGGAGGGGTTTTGAGTACCCTCAACCCCCTGAATTTTCACTGGGTGACCGATCCTCGATGAGTGCGCGAGCCTCAAGCGACCGGTACTGCCCCCGACACTCGAACTCCGCCGCCTGAAGCCAACAGTTTCCCCGACCTACCCCTGAATGGTCGTGCTGAGGGTGCTTACTGAGGGTGCTTTCCTCACTTAAGGTTAGGCTTCAATCCAGAAACGCCGAAGGACGTAGATCTAAGCCTTAAAGCCTAAAGCCAAGAATGCGTTCCAAACGGAAGCGTGCAATTTAAACGACGAACTCCACAACTCCAAGATCCCGCGGGTCCGGAAACCTGGTAATAAAAACTCACATTCCTTAAAACAGAAGCCGAAAAAGAAATGAAATGTCAGAGTCTAGGCAAGTCCCCGCAAAAGGCTTTCTGGATTTGCCCCTGAGCTCAAGTGCCCCGAGCAATGGCAAAGGAGTGCCGCGGTGACATTTGCAACGACCTGCTACGCCCGAACGAGCATCTGCGGAGTGTCGGGCTGGCGTAGCTGGGCTTGGGGTCAAGATACCGGGGTGTAGGTTGGGGTCAGGGCTTTGGGATGCAATCCAGGAGGGTTGCATGTACCCAAGCTCTTATTGTTTTAAAAGAGGGGGCCGAAGTAACTTACCAATACTAATTACTAATTTTCTTTATGATAAATAAAGTACAACTTCCACTCCAAGGTGTCATCAACGTCCTGGTAGCGGCGCTGTCCTGGGGCATGGCTGCCGCGATCCGTTACTCTGCTTTCATGGCTCAGCTTAAGCCACTACAGGGCTTTAGGCCTCGGAGCTCTAAGGCGGTCACGATTTAGGATGAGGGTTTCTGAGGGTGGGGCTTTCTTCTACCCAGCCTGAACCCAGAGACTTAGACTTGAACTTCGGGAATCATAGGGAAGCCTAGCTGCCCTACCGGCGGTTTAGGGTTTAGGATTTAGGGTTTAGGGTTTAGGTGTCTGAAATCGCATCGAACTGGGGCTTTGGTCCATCTGAGAGGCCGAGGCACATCACTGTTCCTTTGCTCCGAATGACGCTAGGGCCGCTACGGCTATAAGTAGGAGAACTATAGTTACAACCTAAACTCGCGGACTTACAACCCCCACAAGTACCCTTCAACGTCCAAGTAAATCGAAACGGTTCCCCACCCACACCATGTGCGGTTGCCCTCTGGTGTTGTGAAGACGCGAAATCAGGTCTCTGAAGTAGAACCAGGCTTGAAGCAACATCCTTATAACCATCTTCCTTCAGGTGGCACTTTGGGAAACTCTGAACTTCCCCTTATGGCTCTTATAGAGGTACCTATACATAAATACATTTAAGCGCCCAACAAACTGCAACCCAGTCCTGAATACCAGATCTCGGAGTCGACTCTGAAAGAGTAAACCATAGATGAATGCGCTCAAAGACCATGTGCTTCGGGTTTAGGGTGTAGGCTTAGGGTGTAGGGTTTGGGCTGCTCTTGATCGTAGAAGGCTAACAGGTGAAAGCAACACACACACACACAAGGTGTTGTGAAAGTAACAGCGATATGATATCAATGACAGGTGCGATACTGAATAGCATAGAATGGTGTGGACGCGCTTATTTCCGGATCTGTTCTTCTACGTCTGTTCTTCTGCCCCATTCCGTGTTGTCCAGATTCTCCGACGAAGTCTAAGCATGATAACTTAGACACCCTACACTTACCCTAACAAACCAAAACCCGGTAATCAAATGCCTACATATGCCTGAACCCGAAGCCATACTACCTCAGAGCGACAAGACAACGAAAGTCTGAGTCCTTTAAAGGCTGGGCGGTGCCGGTTTCCTTGGTTGCCCCATCACCGGGGAGGTGCTCCTCGAACTCTTATGCAATGACGTTAATACAGGGCATAAATAATTACCTGTAGTATTTTCAATGATAGTATAATATACCCCCAAAACCTTATTCTAATTGTTAAGGCCCCTACATCATGTCCGGATTTTTGGGCTTGCCGGGTTTATGGCGGCAGTTTGGTCAGGCTTCATAATCCTAGGTAGTATTAGGGAGACACCTTAAGGGGGTCCCTGCTTAGCCCTATAATTGTGGCTCTGTTAGCAGGGACCTTATTATTGAGAGGGTCTACATCCCCAAGGGTTCCCCTAATCCTAAGTCCTACATCAACAGCTTAAAGTTCAGTTCAAGAGTTCAGGGGTGTCAGAGGCTAGGTGACTTCAAGGCCTCCTGATCATGTGATTACACAAGATGATTTGAAGGGCGGTCACGGGGCTTAGGCTTCGGGTTCAATGGGGGGTATACCTTGCGACAGATTTACAGAGTTTAGGGTTAGGGTACATAGATGCGTGTAGTATCCCAGATAGGCACAGCGGCCCGACATTTAGAATCGGCAAGACTGAGGGTTTCCAGTTAGGGAATCTCCGGGCCAGTCTCTCTCTCTCTCTCTCTCTCTCTACCAGTACAGGGTTCTCAGAGGGCGTAGCGGTGCAGACAAATCCTATGGTTTGTCTGGAGCTGCCGGCTTCTCAAGATGTTTAGTAGTTAGTAGTACGTGTCATTGCCTGCAGTGCCTGCAGTCCGGAGACCAACTCGCCACGTCGCAGCTGTAGAACGTATAGGTGACTGCAATCCGGCACCTAGTGGCAGATCACTACTGTCGCTTGCACAGACCCAGAACCTGAACCTTAAACTGCGGCTCTTTACCCAAAACCCCCGAGCCCCAAGATCAAACCCTAAACTGTGAGCCCCAGAAACCGAACACCCTAAAGCAGAGGAGGGCGGGCTTGGGCGACATGCGAGTAGCTTGGCAGCACATCCTCGGAGCGTTGAAGTTTAAGTTACAACGGCTCAAGGGTTTTAGGGTTCGACCTCTCTGTGTCTTCCGGACCGTGTCCCCGTCTATATGATCGTGGTGTTATACAAGCACACGCTATGTATGCCTGAAGGCAGAACGATATGTCCAGACCACGCACACGCATACATATGTATGCACATACATGTAACTAACATATCTCTATATATATATACATATATACATACACATAGAGAGAGAGGGAGAGAGAGAGAGAGAGAGACGGAGGTATACCTGTCTGTTTACACACACAGAGTTTTCAATGGCATGGACACGTCATAATATCTACATAATTTCTGGAGCCTTAGCAATTCGAACAAGACTTGGAGATTTACTGGAGCATAACTTTAAGAAGGAAAGGACAAACAGTAGACAATTATTCGCTTCTATACTGGGGTTGGATTAGGCTTCGAGCTCGCCGGAAACTTCAGAAGCTGCGCATTGTTGGGGCTTTAGGAGGTTTTGGTGCTTGTGAGCAGAGATAGGCTGCTAAAGCTTCGGGTTTCGGAGGTTTGTAGCAGCATTAGGGTTTTGCAAGATGCTCACGGTGTAGGGCGGGGCATTGTGAATATAAGTACACAGGTAAATAAGTACATGAATAATAATTCAACTACTAGTTATGAGTACAAATGTAGATGTACACATACATATAATACATACATATATATATATATACATATGGATAGGTGTGTGTGTGTACATAGCGGCAGGGCCTTATCTTACACTGCTCTGTGGCAGGCACGAGTCACCAAGCTGGTTTGCAAGAAGCCGTCGTTCATCCTCCTGCTGGGTCAAGGCGCTGACCCAAAGTAGAAGCGCAGAAACCAGAGGTGAGGGCTGGGGATCCCTTGAGATATCCATGTGGTGTTCCGAGAGCCACTGGGAGTTGCGGTCTGGGATTTGTGGGTACGACTGCTGGTTTTGGGATTAGGGTTCAGGGTTTTTGGGATCATAAGGGTTGAGGGGTTCAGGGGTTAGTGCTCCCTGGAGAATTGCAGCAACTTGGAGACCGGATCCCAAGCCCTTGGTTCTCGCGCGTGTTGGACAATTCCTGCCCTTGCAAGCCACGGTTTCAACTTGACACATTAACGGCTTTTCCCTTCAAGGCATAAGCACAGTAAATATAATTACCCCCTAGCCCTAATGACCTAATGAAACTGCTTGATTAGGAGCCCTTGCACTGCCCGCGAAAGCCGCCGAAACGAGAGGTGTGACGGCTGGCATTCCCTGGAATGCCTTTGCATTTCTGCCCCTCTACTTCCAGATTTCGGGCTTCCCGGACCTGTCGGCCGGCGAGATTGTGTCAATGGGAGGACTGCTCAAACACAAACTAAACCCTACACCCTAAAGCCCCAACCAAACCTGATTAGGTTTGGGGTTTATAGGCCTTGGGAGTTAAGGTTTAGGGTTCAGGGTTTCCGGCACAAGATTTCACGGAACCTGAAGCTCAATATTGAGCTCTGGGAGGATCAAAAACATGTTTCTCCGGCCTGAGCTGTTGTGTTCAAGCGCACAGACCTCCGACAGCATGATCGTTATATAATAGCATACGATAGTTTATTATGGTACATTACGACTTTCTATACTTATAAAACCCTAAACCCTAAACCCTAAACCCTAAACCTTATATAAAGGAAGCATGTCCCGAAGCCTCTGAGGACTTGGTGGTGTCATTGGAGGCGTCGTTGGCGGATGGCTGGGCACCTTGACCTCAATTACTCGGCCAAAACAGCTAAGGCGAGAGTTGTCGTTGCATACCGTGTCTGTCATGGTAGTTCTTATGTGGAAAGAGCGGAAGTATGGCAAAGACGAAATTACAGCCTGTGGAGCTTGACGAAATCCTATGCATGTGATTGCTGTTGCGAACCTGTTTGTTTGTTGCACCTACTACCCTTGCGATGTTCGGCTTTGCTTCTGCTGCTGTTCAGTCTGGACCGACTGTCGCAATTGTTGTAGGTCGGTCGGAAAGCTTTCGAGAAACGAAACAACCTTGCCATCAGGAGCCTCGATCCAGTATAGGGGCCTAAATCTACTTGCTTAGCACTTGCACTGCAGTGGACCCCAAAACCCTTCATCAAATCCTTTAAGGCCATACCTACATTGGGCCTCGTCAATATATCGACAACATCCACGCAACTTCAACCCGCAGCTCTGGAATCAACTAGAACGTGAGCTCGGTATGGAACCCAGACCCGACCGGAAGAAAGCCATTTGCCTCACGTGCTCTTCGTTTCTTACCTATGACAAGGATCCTGAACGGTACCCAAAGCCCGATGCCGCAAGACCCCCAAACCCGAAACCCTGAAACCCTAAAACCTAACACCCCGAACCCTGAACCCTAACGCCCTAAACCCTAAACCCCACATCCTAAGCCCTATCATCTTTTTTAAACAGCCGCCTCTACGGTCAGGCCCCGAGTTTCAGAAAGCCAGGGCTTCGAGGGAAGATTTGTGATAAAGCTGTCCATCTCCCCTAAAACCCGTAACCCTAAACCCTAAGCCCTATAAACCCTAAACCCTAAGCCGGGCTTCTATAGATTATGGCATCTAGGACTTGGGACTCTTAGGGGACGAGAGCTCACGCATTATTTGTGGCGCCCAGGGGAAACTCTAAACCCCTTACGGTTGAAGTACTTGGTCCCTATAAACCCTGAGCCGTAAAGTCCTAGAAACCCCGAACCATAAGAGTTCGCGTTTCAGGCATGGGGGTCTCGTGTTGGTTCTCGCTAAGAAACTTGCTTTGCAGCTACCATAGCCAGAACCGACTAACATTCGCCGTAGAAGGCTGTCATGGTAAAGCACATCTACATCCTTCATGAGGACACATTCCCTACCAGCTCGACACAGTCCAAAGGCCACAAGCCTCTGGAACATGAGTCCCTGAACCCTAAACCCTAAACCCTCTAGAGCCTTAGGATAAGCCGTGCGACCTCGAGGTGATTGGGCACACCGGCGCTGGCCCTATGCAGGGCGATGTGCTGTGGCGCAGCTGTCTCTGTTCCTTGGTAGCACAAGGCCCCCACTGAACCCGCTTGAAAAGGAATCACTAACTGCTAACCCTGAGGGTCCACGTGCCTAACCAGTCTCTCAATTGCTATTGGCCCCAGAAAAATTTTGGAGGTGCGGGGACGGTGTTATGCATTTGCTCCCCGAGGGGTCCCCCCTGCTCCCCCGGATGTTATCTAATCCATCTGTCTGTCTATCTACCTATTTGTCGATCTACCTATCTATTTATCTATCTATCTTTCTATCTACCCTTTGAACCCTAAACCGATATATCGGTGTATATGTTGGGTTTTATGGTTTATCATCTATAGCTACTTCAGACCCCTTTCTTGGTTCAGCTTCCTTCCCACCCTGTGGAACGGTTGAGGGGTTAGGGTTCAGAGTTGAGGGTTGGGGGCTTGGGGTTTAGGCTTCAGAAGTTGAGGTCGGCTTGAGGCCTCAGAGCGTGCAGTAGGTGGCGGAAAGGGTGGGGGGAAAGCGTCGAAATCCTGAGCCTTCTCGCCGTCAGCCTAGTACCCCAAGCTTGAATAACATGCCTTGCATCGGTAAGTACAAGGTAGTTCGAAAGGTACTGATTATAGCCCTATAGAGCAGGTCCTCTTAAGGGCTTTGGGTCTGGCCCTCGCAGATACCGGTTCATGCATTGCGGCCTTTTCTGAGGGCCCACAAGAATTCGCGAGCTTGAAAAGCCAACCTCCAACATCCAACTCTTCTCAGCCTTGCCATTGATAACAAGGATGCGACTGGGCGTTCCTCGGAATGTGTCGGCTGCCCACACGTGCATGATGCTGGCTTAACTATCAGATAGGTATCAGTAGTGACCATGTTTGTTTTGTATTGCCTAGTCTTCGTTCTTCGTAACCATCGATACGAGGTTCACTGAATGGCCGCCGTCCTTGCCACAAAATCCCCTAAACCCTAAACCCCAAAACCCCAGACCCTAAACCCAAAACGTCCTAAGAACCCACAACCATCTGTCTAGGTTTCTTGGAGCGACCGTCTTCATTGCAGCTCCTTGGCTCAACACTCAGCAGGCGGCTGGGTGCATGGAAAAGCCCACTAGTCCAGAATTGACAATGGTTCATCAACTCACAGGACAGGGCCCTCTATAGTCGAAGGTAAATAGCTCTGAGAGCGTGTAGGGTCAATTGCAAGCCCTCGACCTCGGTACATTGTCATCATGCATCCTAATTTTAGGCTAGGCTTGACGTCCAAGCCACAAAAGCCGACTTTAAAAAGTCAGGTCATGAAATGCTCCGCCAAATTTTGGGCAGTGGTGTCGCTTCTCTTCCTCTTCAACGTCGTTGCGTGCTGGTGCCAAGCTCAGCAGTTAGAATCCTAGAGCACGAGTCCTTTGGGGGTTTGCAGTTTTTGCCCCACGCCCCACAGAAGCAGTTGAGTTGGACCTTTAGGCCTCATGCCCTCAACTAGTAACTGTGTAGATGATCAGGCGAGAGTAAATGGCCGGGGGTTGTAGCAAGACATTATGGTAACAAGGACTATGGGTGAACAAATGAGGAACGTACATACGCACATTTCATACACCAGTACATAAGCATGTGCCTATGCATGCACATCAAAGTTTAAAGCAGACAGACAGACAGACAGACAGACAGACAGACAGACAGACAGAATGAATTACAGAATGACATACACAAAGGTAGTACATGTACGTATGGATATGTACATGCTGATGGTATCAACACCGAATGACAACACGTAAACCTGCATCCTGTAAGGTCTGTGGCAAGAGGGCATATCCAAAAACTGAGTCCTTGAACCTTGCATCCTTGCTGTCGATCTCGCTGGTGCAGGCTGCTAGTCGTCTTGCTTGCCGGAGCGTCCACAAGGGAACCGTACACCTAGTGAGTCTTTTGAGTTTCGATGTTCCGAATGAAGCCATACCCTAAACCTCTATCCCCTAAACCCCTAAAACCCAAAACCCTAAACCCCTAAACAACGAAGAAAACTCGAGTCCATAGCACGGGACTTCGCACACGACTCAGGACCCCCGTGGCTGCTTTGCGCCCGATCTGCGGGGACATCGTTCGTGACAGCTGCCTTGGCTCAATAAGAAAAGAGCTCTTCTTAGGGGCTGAGTAGGTAACCTTTAACCTTTTGGGGCTTATACCAATATTATACAAACCTATTACAACTCGAAAAGGTTATCCTTTTTTGGGGCTAAGGTACTCGGCCCCTAAGTCTTCATCCGAGTATGGAGATCGGAAGAACCAATAGTAGTCTTCCTTAGGAATTCGTTTCTCCTTGCACCAGGTTTGCAAACTAGCTTTTGACAATTCGGACTGCTAGGATCCCAAAGGAAGGATAAGGCATGAGCATGAAGCCTTGGACCGACCCGGAAGCCTGAATAACTAGCAGTATCATGCCTTAGCGTTCGTCAATATAGCTGTACTATAGCATAGTATCCCAGTTATCGTTAAAATTTAAACCGAGTTTGCTAGCCATATATTCGACAACAGGCACGAAGTCAAGTCACCAAGACCGCTAGTAGCTGGCAACTGCACGTCTTCAGGGGTTTCTTGAGGAGTTAAGAGAATTATTTTCCAGTCGGGTTTGAGTGTTAAGACTTTCCACAGCTTCAGCAATCGCACTGTTCGCAAGTGGAGCCACAAGTTCAAAGTACATGTACAGGGCTTTGGGGAATAGCCTTGAGGTTGTTGGGAGAGCAAGTGTAGGGTTTAGAGTTGGGAGACCAAGTCACATGCAGGCCAAGATCGTGCGCAGATGATGGCAACGTGGTGGCGACCTAAGCATGTCAAGATTGCTCCTTTCGGCATTTGTGGTCTAAGGTACACGTCCCTGGTAGGACATGCCTTGATGTTTGACTTCTTTCTCCTGCTATCGAATCAGACACTTAGCGACTTAGCGGTACAGTACAACGGCATTCGCTGTCATGTTGCTTCCCGCGGTGAGCATGTTGCGTCTCACCTACTACGCACTAACACATATGTTGAGCAGCAATCCCGGACAACGATGCACATCCAGAATCCGGACTCAGGCCTTTTTTCGAAGACCAGCTTCATAGTTTGGATGCAAGAGTGCAACCCGAGTAGAACTTCGAGAGGCTGTAGAGTCTTTGTTCCTCAAGCTCAAGCTGCTCAGCAGAATATACATGAAGCTGGCACGCCCATATGCACGCCCAACACTACCACGACGAAGACCAGCGCAACTAGCACGACAATCACAAGTATCATCACGAGATCTGAGACAGACTGTAGCGCAGCCCTTGCACAAGAAAAGGAAACGTGAGCATGGTGCATGAACAAGGTTTAGGGTTTAGGGGATTAGTGTTTATTTTGCTGACAAGATCATAGCTATTATGATCCACCACTTAAAGTCAGACCGTTTATGCACCAAACCAACTCTAAACCTCAAGCCCCGAACCCTCGACCCTCTACACCCTAAAATCCAATACCCCTGACTTGGAAACTCATTTGGATGAGGATTTGCCTCGAAGGGATTATCACTTCCACCCTGGGTGCGCCACTGGTGGGCCTGCTGTCAGAGGCCTGCGGTTTTGGTGTTAGAGATTCCGATCGAAGGGTTAGATGATTCTAGGATTCAGGGCTTTAGGGTATTGGGTTTAGGATATGGGGTAAGGGTGCATTGCTGACGAGTTTAAGCTTAAAGGCTGGTCTGGGTCCCTAGAATGCCCCCTCCTGGAACACTGCAACGCACTCCATGTCCGGCACGGAGCCCCTAAACTCTGAAACCACTTCTTTGGATTCTGAACCTTAGACTTAAAACTTTAAACCCAGTATCCTGAATTCGACACCGATTGGGCTGCAGCGCACTGTTCGTTCGATTTTTCCAGCTTTCCTTGATGTTTTCACCCAACGAGTGCAACAAGAAACTTTGGATTTCAGGAACATCCCTTCAAGTATCGTAGGGATCCTTTCTATGAATGGGAGCCCTATCTGAGAGGCATTACGCGATGGGTTTCTGGCTTCGGGTGTAACGGGGATGTGTCAGCAGTCCTTGTGGTGAAATCAGCCATGGCCAGAGCGCTCAGAAAGTTAGGGGATTATTGTAGGGACCCTCTGAGGAACCCTAAACTTTAGGGTTCCTAAGAGGGTCACTTCAATAAGGGATCTATAGGGGTTCTATATGGGGTGTAGAGTTGTTACATCTATCTAGGTGCCATCCGACTAACTAGGCAAGAGGGTTCCTATTCAATTTGAGGGTCTAGGTTCTGGGCGCTACACCCCTAAATCAACTTCTCCGAGGCTTTTGGCTGCCGCCTCACATCGGCCAAAGCCCATGGGGAGCAAACGGCTGCCGCTCTGCGCGCAGCGCCGTGGTCTGCAAAGCGGTTCTACTGCAGGGATGAGGGTTTAGGATTTAGGGGTTTAAGGTTTAGGGTTTAGGATTTAGGGATCAGGATTTTTGTTCAGGTTGTACGTTTTAGGGTTTAGTGCCGTGTCTGCGACGTTCTAAGATTCTGCTTCATGGTGTTTGGGTGGTTACGGGTTCGTACAAGTGTGTGGAGGTTTAGGATTTAGGGTTCAGGGTTTAGATTGAGTTACTGAGTATTTAGATATAGGGTTTAGGGTTCGGGGTTTTCAGTTGTACCCCAGGCTTGAACGGTCTACGCACAGAGAGTCGCAACTTCCGTCGCAACTCACCAGGTGCCGAGAACATCATGCTGCCACTCTCCTCGCAAATCCTAAAGCCCTACAAAAACCCTAAACCCCATCATGCGTCGAAGTTCGCTAAACCGGAACCATCGGCCTGTTGTGGCGTAGAGCCCACAAGCAAAGCACCACGGCACTTGCAGTCCCTTGCTAGCTCCCGTCGTCACCGAAACGTGCGACCAATCCTTGAATCGTCCGGAGGGGCGATACTGGTGTGTAGTGGACTCTGCAGGTAAGCTTTGCACAGCCTGTGCTTATGACGAGCTGCAGTGGCAACAAAAACTCCATAGGGTTCCCTGCAAGCCCCAAGCAAGCAATGAAAGCCAGTGGACGCTGGGTTTGAACAAGAAGCTAAACCCTAAACCCTAATCCCCGAGGCCACAAAACCTCAAACCCTAAACCTCTGGACATTGAGCCCCCAAGCCCTGATCCCTTAAAGCCCTGATTTATCCCCCCAAAGCCTACACTAATCCCAGAGCTCTTCGAGGCCCTTTTGGGTGTAGCTTTGGTCCCGTGGCTACTCTCATGGCTTGTTTGGCTTCCAATGCTCCTGGGACGCATGATTCAGGGTGTAGGGTCGGGGTATATAACCCTAAACCCTAAGCCTTTATGGTTGGTTTAGGGTTTACTGGTTGCGGTTCAGGGTTTTGCAGGCTTTGATGCCCGAGGTCAACCTAAGCCTTTAAATTCCCACCATCTCTCCATGTCTGTATGTCTGTATGCATGTATGCATGGATGGATGGATGTATATGCATATATATATATATATGTATGTATGTATGTATGTATGTATGCATGTATGTGTAAACAGATATGCATACACACATACTTACCTACTTACATGCCTATATAGATTAAGCCCTCTCGGGGTCGGAGCCGCAACTACGTTTCCTCATTTGCAGGGGTCGCTTACGGCTTCTGGGAGGTTTTCCCGACAGCGCTAGCTTGGGCCCTTAATCTTAAGTGTTCGCCCAGCGACAGGAAAGGAGCAATGTCAGGGGAGGAGTATCAGCTTTGGGGATTTTATTGAGGAGGATCTGCGGCTGTCATGGTTTTGGGTTTAGGGATGGTTGCCATGTCCTAATTTAGCGACGATGTCAGAGGTCTGTCCCAGGAATGCGCGACTGTTTCTCTTCGAAAGGCCCATGCATAACTTGGAGGAAATGAATTTCTTCGCCGTCTTATGTCTTAGAGGTGTACGAGGACCTTGAATAGCCGGCCGGCCACGAGGAATGCATCTGCACTGAAAATCACTGAAAGTTGCATCAGACACTAGAGCTGAGATTTGTCAGGAATGCCGTGGCGGGAAAAGACGCTGTGTTGTTTCGAATCAGTATGCGAGACCTCAAGGCAGCGAGAAGTTTCAGAGACAAATGCAAGTAACCATGGGAATCGGAATGTTCAGGAAGGCAGAAGCTATCTTCGTCGCCTGGTGAACAATCCCCAGTTTCTAGGATGAGTGTTCGAGATAGGTTTCCTGCTGCCACAAGGTACAAAACATACCCTCGTGATGCAGGCTGCTGCCTAAAGGGTGTACCCATAGGCTCCATAGTAGTTCCTTTTTGGGGTTCATATTTGGGATCTTATAAGGTAATCCCGAAAAGGAACTACTTTGGAGCCTATGGGTAGGCTGCAGGTCTTCTAGTGTTCAGGATGGGTGGGTTACTGGAGCATTTTTGGGCCGCATGGCTGATACCCTGGGATCGAGACTCTGTCATAGGCTCCCCGTGTATCATTCGAGTCTCTGGTTTTTCCCACCGCTGTTGAAAGCTCAAAGGGTTATTCTGAGCACTGGTAGGAACCCTTAGCCCAATGCACCCGCAACCTTAAACCTCCAATCCCGACTAAATCCTCAGAACGGTTACCTTACGGACCCCAACAGATTCATTTCAAACGTCTGAGTCCTGGTGCTCATCGCAGCTTTGCAAGTCTACGGAGGTCCGTAACTGGCCTTTGAAAAGGGTTCAGTAAGGTCAGCGGGGCAACATAGGAGCGCTGCCAACCTTCGCGATTGATTCTTGTCTCCATGGGGCCCTGAATGCGTTGAGTAGCGATCACTTCAAGCTGCCTGCCCCCACTCCACTACTCTGCAACATGTCCCTCTGCTCTGAGCGCTGCAGCTACCTAGACCCTCCATCTACCCTCTATTAGACCCTAAATACCCTTGATTTTGGACCATATACCCCTGTTTGAGGGTACTTGGAGGGTCCTGGTAGAGTTTCCAATGTTTACGGTTGCCCCGCACGGAAGCCGCAGAGGCCTGCCTCTTCATAGTGCATTGACATGAGGGCACACGTATGTGTGGACATATATCTCTTTATCTACCTATCTACCGAACTACTTATCTATCTATCTATCTATCTATCCAATCTAATCTATCTAATCTATCTGTCTATCTATCTGTCTATCTGTCTAACCAAGTCATTAAATTACATAGATGTGTTTGGCTACATGCGTGCATGCGTGAATTTGTCTATGTACGTATGTATGTATGCACATATGCGGCTTTGGGGTTTGGTTCAGGGTTGAGGGTTTGTGGGTTTGGGTTTAGGGAGTTGAGGGTTTACGACTTAGGGCAAGCCACGAACCCAAGAAGCTGACCAGGCCAAAGTGAGCAGAGACTGCGTCGCGTCGGAGAGATAGATCCTGAAGACTCTTCGCGCTAATATTTAAGAAAGGGGTCTGGAGAGCTACGTAGTCAAAAAATCTCTATTTGGACTGAAAGCCTGCTTTGGAGCCTTGGTCGTAGCCTGTCTGGGGTTTTAGGGTTTAGGGTTTTAGGGTTTAGGGTTTTAGGGTTTAGGGTTCTAGGGTTTAGGGTTTAGGGTTTTAGGGTTTAGGGTTTGGGGTTCGGCCTCGTCGTAGGCATGTACACTGCATGCAAGGTTGTAGCGTGAAGGGATGCAAAGACAGGTCCAAACCATCAAACCCCAGTAGCTCGACAACTGGCCAAAAAAGAAACACGTAATACAAGCGCCTGGACAAATAAAGATGCGATTTCTTAGGGGTTGTTAGTATGATCAGTTAGTGACAGTGTACCAACAAGCTCTGGTCAGGTTGTTTTGGCCGCTGTGCTCAGCATTAAGCCCCAGACCCGGTTTTAGCATGTGCAGCACAGAGCTTCGATGTCCCTTTTCTCCTAGGTCAGCAGAGATTAAGGAACTTTCGGCTGCAGGGTAGAGTAGTTTGATGCTTTCGAGCTAGAGTTTAAGGACCCCTTGTTATGAACATTTGTGGTTGCCAAGCTGCTTTCTGTAAACTTGCACAAGAGTCGATGGCTTTTCACAAGAGAAGCATGACTCTACCCATAGGCTCCATAGTAGTTCGTTTTTGGGGTTCCTATTTGGGATCCCATAAGGTACTCCCAAAAAAGAACTACTTTGGAGCCTATGGGTAAGTTGAATGAAACACTCGTCGCACGGATCCCCCGAGCAGAGGGGATCCAGTTTTGATTTCCAGGTTGGGCCCGACAAAGGAACCTTCGAAAAGCCTAGGCTTTAGGGTTTAGGATTTTGGGTTTAGTATGGCTTAGGGAGTTTACGGTTTAGGATTTAGGATTTAGGGTTTAGTATGGCTTCGGGAGTTTAGGGTTTAGGGTTTAATCGGAGTTGAGCTGTTCTTCGCTTTACTGAGCCGAAACCCGAGTGATTGCGCCAGGTCTCGGATTTTCGGTCGGGCACTGAAGGACTAGATGTTGCCGTTGATGATATTTGATCCAGCAGCAGACATCATCGCAACTGTTCACTCCGCACAATGTTGGATCATGACGCTGAACTTTCTGCCCATCGCGTGTTTGTTTCCCAACAAGGCTGTCTCTTGAGAGCGTGATGTAGCAAATTCATGTTGAACCAGGTTGGTTACAGGGAAAACGGTAGGCCCTAATTAGACTCTGGACCACAAGCCCTGACTGAAACTGCTTTGGAGCGATTTTGGGGCAACTCCTCCTGCCCCTCCGTCTTCTGCCAAGACCGGTGCGTGCATGATATCGTGGCAGTGGCCTGCGTGTGCGTGATGTCTACGACTACAGTTCTCGGCTTCCTTCGGGAGGAGCAGAAGCAGCAGCAGTAGCAGTGGCAGTGGCAGTGGCAGTAGTCGTCGTGGTGGTGGTGGTTGTTGTGTCGCTTTCACTCTCGGAGTATCCTTGTTAATGCAATTGTTGTTACAGTTACGGCACACAGTCCATTGGGATTGAACTTCCTCTGTCTGCACCGGGCACAACCTCGAGTAGGCGGACAACGATGCTGCAGAGGTTCCAGATGCATGGCTCCCTTTTTGGGGCTCCATGATAGAATAGGAACCGATGAGTAGGTTCCATGAAGTTTGCGAAGCCTGCGCCGAATTCCGATCACCGTCCCTTTTGGCAACAGCTTCGGCAGAAGGGCGGTGTACTTTACTGCAGACTTTGGATGTAATGTGGCAAAAGCGTGAGATTCGATATGGCTCTGGTTTCTGTGTGTCCGGATACTCCCTGAAAACTCATGGCCCAACTGGGCCCGAGATTCACAGAGGGATAAAAGTTAGGGTCAGGGCTTTGGCTGCTAGCTGGAGTACGGACATAAAATGGGACAGTCAAGGATAGGAGCGAACAGATAGCACATGACACAAACCGTGGAATTAGTAGGACGAAACAGACACGAATCGACATGTCAACACAAAAGCGCCTGAAGTAAGGCAAGTAAGCGATCAGGCAAGCATGTAGGGCTTTGGCAGGGTTTACAACATGAACGATCCATGCACACAAACCGTCATTCAATCAAGCTCGAAACAAGGTCTCACACAGGCGCGTACTGAAGGCGCATACGTCCAAGTATATGAACTAGTCTTTGGGTCTACCTTCCAGTATGTTCGGTAGTACTCTAAGAGCAGTTTCAACAATGCTACACGTAGCCGAGGCATAGTACCCATCAGAGCGACACGATCTTTTGGCTAGTGCTTCTCAGAGCTCCTAATTATGACGAAGAAGCTTCTGTTAACAAGGCGGGCTCTAAGAGACGCAAGGACTCAGAGCCGCATGGTCGAGCACCGACACTCTCCGATACCTTCAATTTTGAGTTGTTTGCCTCTTCAACCTGTTGGTCAGCTACATCCGCAACCAGAGACTCCAATTAAGGTCTGTCTCCCAGAATACGAGCCGTCACCAGCATCTTTGTTATTGTCATTGTTATTGTAAAGTGTAACTATCACGGCTGCATGTATTACTACTGCTCTTGTCATTGCTATTGTTATTGTTTCTGTCGAATATTATTACTGTCTGTAACCCTATGCAGGGCCCTAGACCCTTTAAGGACCCAATAACGAGGTCCCCGGAAGCATAGGGCAATGCTGTCTAACGTCGAAAGATGCCGTACCTGAGGGATCTAGAATCTAGACGTCTCCGCGTACGCTTCGTGGTTCAAGGAGAGTCAGCTTGGCTTAGGGTTTCCGGTAAAGGGTTTCGAGTTTAGGCTTTAGAGTATGTTTAGAAGAGGATTTGGGTTCAGGGTTTAGGGTTTAGGGCTTCAGGTTTACCAGGAGCTTTACCAAAAAGGCAGGACGGATGAGACGAAGCCTTCAGGGAGTGTCACGGGAAAGCCAATTTTGAAGATAGCACGTCAGAAGCAAGTTTTGTGAACATGCCCGCAATGGACCATGCTGGAATATATGTGCATCGCCAGATCACGGACGAGAAGCAGTGGGCACTTGCGATGCAAGCCATCCAGAGGGAGTTCTGTGAGGACGACGTATTCGTGGAGAAGACATGGACGCTGAAAGAGCAGGCTCCGCCGGACGATCCACTGTATTGGATCAAGATGACTAGGGCGATATCGGAGGATGATGTCGTGGACTTGCGGTACGCAGAATCTTACTGCTGCGAAGTAATATGTTTTTTTCTTTTTCGGCAATAGTATACACGACCGGCGAGGAAAGTTCAATCTAGTGGTTGAGAGCACGTAAAGCAATCCTCTACAGGCCCTGTCAATCGTGTGTCAGAGGATCCCTGTCTCGCTCCAACAGCTCGTAAGGTTTTAGGGTTTAGGGCCAAACTACCAAGGCTACACAGGGAGTAGGGCCAAGCAATCGTCACCCCCCCAAGCCATTTTAGCCTTAAAGCCTAAAGTCTTACAGCCCAAGAGCTCTGATAGGACCCTTCTGGAACCCAATAAAGCTTCTTACAGGATTCTTGTAGAACCCCTGAAGCACCAATTAAAGAGGGAGCCCCCGGTCCCTTTTTGATGTAGAACTTAACCCTAAACCCTAAACCATATCTGCTAGACATCCTGGGCCTCACTCCTGATGCATCCGCATCGAAACCCTTAACCCCAAACCCTAGACTTCGTAGATCGCAACCTCTATATACCCTAAACTTTTTAAGCCGTGCAGACCCATTGAAACCTTAGACGCTGTATGGGTAGTTCTCTAAATTAGAGTCTCTTTCAGATCCCCAATAATTACAATATGACGCCCGTATAAAAAGAACCCTAAAAGGGACCCTCGTTTGGAGAACTACCCAACAAACCTTCTGAAATCCCAAGGAACTGCTTAACTTCGGCTCTGGCGTGAACTTCTATCACTGGGAGCCACTGGCACAGCTTGTGGAGACTTCATCCTTGCCTGTAGTACCTTTCTATTATCCTTCTGACAGCTTCTGTATAGGGTTTAGGGTTCGGCGTTCAGGGTTTAGGGTTTGGAGTTTACCTCAGTAGTACCCTTTAGTCTTCTTCCGGGGTTCCAAGAAGGCTGCCCAGTAATAGCCGGTTTAGTCCTTGCTAATGTGGAAGGTACCCGAAAATCTAACACGACCCCAACATTACCTATTTAATTATCGCACCGCAAACCTTAACGAGAACCCAACATATCCCAACATTACCTATACTTACGTTTTGTCTCCATAAACCCTAAACCCCAAACTCGAAAACCTAAACCCTAATCCCCAAAACCTAAACTCCAGAAACCCACAAACCTAAACCCTAAACCCCTAAACCCTAAAGGCCCTAAAAAGGCCCTAAAAAGGGCCCTAAAATCAAGAAGATGCCGGGAAACCAAGGAGATGGGCTTCGAGAACCTGGAGTCCCTGGAAGAAGTTGTCACTCAGGGTCCGGGCAGCTTTGGTTCATGGTTTTTGGGGTTTGGGGCGTAGGGGCCTTAGTGTTTAGGGTTGTGGGCTTATAGGGTTTAGGTTTTGGTGGTTTAGGTTTAGGTCTTTGAGTTTGGGGCTTATTTTGGGTTTATAGGGTTTAGGTTTTAGGCTGTTGTGTCGTTCTTACGTTTCGTGGGATGGCAGGTAGAAGGTTGGTTTTGTTTAAGCTATCTTTTCTAAAGGTTTTGTGGCTAGGATGGCAATGAAGCTGCACTTGACCTGAAGCCCATTGCAGCTGTAACTTCTGTGAGCACCCCTATGATAGCCTAGCCTCCCAATCTCAAACCGGCAGCAAAACCTGATGTTGTTTGTACAGTGTAGATCAACTTGCCCCTGAAGGAAAGGAGCTTCTCACAGAAGCGCTGAAATCTCCGATGCAAAACCCGCCATTCTTCTGCATGGCTGGAAGCATGTTGGGCTCTAGGGCGCGCTGTTGCGTTTCGTCACTTGTGGGGATGGCTAGGAGCAGGTCGGACTTTACGGCTGAAGAGAACAGTTGATGATGCAGCGGACTAAGACTTAGGCTAAGTTCGGCTAAATCTCGCTTCAAGTCTGGGTGTCGTACAGATGCTAGCAACACGAGGGAGCGACAGTCACAGCTGCAAGGCTTACTTCCTGATTGTTCATTTTTTGTGTGAGGGGCATGCCAAGACTCTTAATCCCTATACACCTATCATGATCACAGAAGACCCTAGAACTCTAGAGCCAACCCTCAACCCTAAACCCCTAAACCCTAAACCACAGTTGAATCCTGAACGTAAGGCCCTTCCTAAACCCCAAACCGCGAAGCCCTGAAGCCCTAAACCCCCACTCCCTGAGAATTGAATCCGAAGCCCTGCAAACCCTTATAAACCTTGTTGAGGGCGTACAAGGATCTCTAAGCCGCCAGCCCAGGTTCGAGATCAACGAGGCTAAGGAGACTTTGACGAAGGTCAGGAGCATCGCTCAGAACATTCGAAGTCTCCCTTCAGACGAGCAGACGATGGTCTTCCAACTGTCGAAAGAGCGAAAGCTCTCTAAGGTGCCCTGGCTTTTTTCAGGGTTTTGGAGGGTTTAGATTGAAACCATAAGTTAAGCCCTAAACCCTAAACCTTAAAGCCCTAAGCCCTAAACCCTATAAACCCTGACGTAGTGTTGCTTGGGTTCACGGCTTCGGCGGGGGCACCCTGGAGCTTGCCTCGGGGTCGAGAGGGCTTTTAACTCTTGTTTCAGAGAGGTTTACGGTTTAGGGTTACGTATGGGTCCCTAAACCCTAAGCCCTAGCAAATTCTTCTTTATGTAAGAGTCTCTAACCCCTAAACCCTAAACCTACCAAGTTCTTTATGTAAGGGCCCCTAAACCCTAAATCCTAACAAGTTCTTTATGTATGGGTCCCTAAACCCTAAACCCTAATAAGTTCTGAGCTCTGTGGGTTTCGGTTTTTAGGGTTTCAGGGTTTAGGGTTTAGGGATTCAGGGCTCTCTCTCAAAATTGGGGTGTGTTCTCCCGGATCCTTCAAAGCCTAATACAGGAACCTGACAAGACGCTAACCCTACGGTTGATGATATACATCCTGCATTATCCATAAAAAGGAATATAGGTAATGCAGGAAAAATATCATCAACAGTAGGTTTAGGGTTTGGGGCCTAAACCCTAAAACATAAACCAAGATGGGAGCCTAAAAAGTTGAAGGTTCCTGCAAGAGATCGAGAAGGCACTTAGGGCTTCAGGGTTTAGGGTTTAGAGGCTCGGACCGATAGGGGCTTTAGGGCTTAGGCCCTAAACCCTAAGCTTTTGGGCTTAGTACATGCATAATCAAGTACCAATATTGTCCCTAAGGCCTCCGGTATTTATAACTATACAATAATATCCCTATCATCCCAATCAAAAACATTAAGGCCCCTCTAGCACCCAAAGCCTCCGCGGACACAGTGGGTCTTAGTCGTATCTTCAGGTCGGTTTAGGGTGGGGAGTGCCTCCACTCAGGCCATTAATTATACCAAAGTGACTCAGAAATCCCTAGCAGTTTAACGCGAACTCGGACCTTATGGCGGAAGCTGACAGTAATTTCGAGGTCTGACAAATCAGTAATGATGTTCACACACTTTCCTTACATAATTCTACTATTGTAGACCTCGAAACTCTATTCCAGTCGTTAAGGCCCCTGCTTCTGATAACCCTTAAAGTAATCCCCAACAAGGATCCCTTAACAAATGAAAGGACTCTATTCGCACTGCTACACCCTAAACTCCAAAGCGTTCACTGCAGAGCCCTTAATTATTCTAAAGCTCCGTAGAGGAACCCTATTCTAACCCTAAACCCTAAACCCTATTCTAACCCTAAACCCTAAACCCTAAACCCTATTCGAATTATAGTGAAGGTTCGCCCGCCGATTCTCTTCGAGTTCTCCGTAGGAGATCGCCCCAGCCTGCCGCTCTTCGGCCGCCACTTCAGGTGGGGGCCTGAGGGTTTGCATTTAGGGGCTTAGGGCTAAAGTTTAAAGGGGCTCTGGGGGCCTGAGGGGTTGAATTTAGGGGCTTAGGGCTAAAGTTTAAAGGGGCCCTGGGGGCCTGAAAAGTTGAATTTAGGGGCTTGGGGCTAAAGGGGTTTAGAGTTTAGGGGATTTGGGATTTACGAAATCCCTCAAACCCAACAACCTGAGGGCTTTAGGAGTTAAACTGAACCCAAAATCCTAAATTGGGGGGGGTTAACGTTTAAGGATCCTTTGAAATAATAAGGATCCCCGGGATTGAGCTTCTGTATCAGGGTCCCCTATTTCGGGCCGTTCAGGGAGCTGCTAAGGTCGGGTTTAAGTGGACATGTGTCGGCAGTTTAGGATTTATAGGGTTTAGGGGTTTAGGGTTTTGGGTACATCTGTGTTCGATAGCCTTCTTCGTCGTTTTTGCAAATTTCCCAACTCTGGCACCCTAGCCCCGGAACCCTCAACTCACGGCATACAGTGCTCGAGGATAAAGCCCTGAAGCCCTAGTTAAATCCCAAATCCAAGCATGAGCCTCAAACCTTAAAGCCGAAACGAGGTACCGATTTAGGATCTCTTCTCATTTCCGTTCTTGGTCTCGAAAATCTCTTTACGAATTACACACCAGTTTTGGGGGCGCTACTGACATCGGCACCTAGCAAACTCTGAATCCTCTGAAATGATAAGCCCTAGTCTTTACGCCCTACTTAACCCCAAACCCTAAACTCAAATAAATGCTGAGCAGGATCATGGAATCTAAGCTTGGTGGGCATTGCGACATCGCCGATGGCTACATCCGCTTGGTCTACCGCGTCCTCAAAGAATCCTAGCATCAAGGATTGATCTTGTGTTTAAAACATATTCTGCCTTTTTTATAGGGAGAGATAAGGATTTGGTATGATTTATCGGGTTTCATGCGGTGTTATAGGGGTTTTGTTGAGATTCATGTGGCGTAAAGGGTTTATACGGGTGTCACAATGGATTTAGAAATCCCAGCACCCTTCCAATTTGCAACCAGGGTGCTGGTTGTCCTAGGTTCAAATCCCTCCCCCCCACCGCGAAAACGGCACACCCGCAGCCTTGCGTTCCTGCTGTTGCTGCAGCTTGCAGACCCCATGCAGTCCCTGAAGACTACGTTCCTGTGGCTCTTGCAACTTGCAGTCCCTTTGCAGCCCCGCCCCTCTGTGCAGTTCCTGCGCAGTGACAGCAGTCCTGAGAGCTTTGCGACGTTTGGGAAAGGAACTCAACTCAGAGTTTCTATCGCACACTTGGTTGTGAAATCGATCCGCCTCGGATGCTGTGATAGTCCCCAAGCTCCGGAGACAGAGAGAGAGAGAGAGAGAGCGAGAGAGAGAGAGAGAGAGAGTGTGTGAGTTAGACAGGGAGCGGGCTGCGATACAGATTAAGTAGTTAGTTTTGCAGGTTGTAACCCTGCAGGTTGCCAACCCTCTTTATCTTTAAGCGACCCCTTATTAGGAGTAACTCAGGGTGCCTAAAGCTACTGGAGTGCATCCTCGGTCAAATGCTAGCCGAACGTACTTGTGCCTTTTTTCGGGGAGGGGTGGGGGTAGTTGGGGTTGTTGGGTTTAGTGCTTCGGGTCCAAAGGTTCAAGGTTTCAAAGGGCCTTAACCATGTAGATCTGGAAGGTTGGCTTGTAAAGCCCGCTGTTTGCTGTTTTCTCCCCTAAACTCCCTAAACCCTCAATTCCAAGACCTCAACCCTCAACCTTAAACCCTATACCCTAAACCCTGAACCCTCAACCCTGAACCCCCAACCCTAAACACCAATAAGGAGTACTTCCCCAACCACGTTTTCAATGAGCCGCCCTTGATGATGCAAGTGCCTGGGCTTTCTTCAGGGTTGGTTTGGGTTTTTTTTAGAGTTTGGGGTTCAGGGTTCAAGGTTTAGGAGACAGGGTTCAGGGTTTGGGTTTTAGGGTTTGAGAGCGGGGTGTTGTGAGGCGGAGTTTTTAGGGTGCAGGTTTAGGGTTTAGTGCTTGGGCTTTGTACAGGGATGTTTATTGCCGTGCTTTCGTAAAATAGAAATGCTTGCACTCAATCATAGACACCTCAAGGCAGTATAGATATGTATATACACACACGCACATATATATATATTATACACACATACATACAAAAATACAAACACATACATACATACATACATACATACATACATACATACGTACATACGTACATACGGACAGACATACATACAGACAGACAGACAGACAGACAGACAGACGGACAGACATACATACATACATGGGAAGCATGTACCTGTGTATATATATATATATACATAGGTATGTGCGTGTGTATATAGATAGAGATAGATAGATAGATAGATAGATGGATGGATAGATGGATAGATAAACAGGTAGACCGATGGATGGATGGATGGATGGATTGGATGGGATGGGATGGGATGGGATGGATAGATAGGTAGATAGATGGATAGATAGATAGCTAGAGTTTTCTTGTTTTGCAACGAGAGGGTTCTCGAGGGTGGGGTTACATGGTTTCAGTGCCCTTTAGTTACAGAGTACGCAAGTTGAAGGAGTTAGACAGATGTACGGTCCACGAGAGCGTTTCATTCGATGAAACTGTGCTCGAGTATTCGTGTAAGTTATCCGGCCCTGTATGCAGGCAGCTGAACCTTGCATTGGTCCATCTCAAGCCCACCTAGTTTGGACGCTAGCACTCAGAAGCGATTTCCCCCTATGGCATACTCGGTAGATAAGCATACGTAACTACATTTACTTAGGGGCTGAGTAGGTAACCTTTAACCTTTTTGGGCTTATAAAATCCTACTATAATTCAAAAGGTTAACCTTTTTTGGGCTAAGGTACTCAGCCCCTAGGTTTGTTTATGTTCTAAGATTCTCCCAAGCCGTATTCTGATTATTCAGGCCCCATAAACTGAGCACATGCCAGGTGAAGCTTGGTGAGCCCGGGACTTCGACGCAGGACGATGGCACCGACAGGGGCCGTCGGGTGTAGGGTTTAGGGATAAGGGTTTGGAGATTTGGGTTTGGGGTTTGGGGTACAGTAGTTGACGGGTTTAGGGATTCAGGGAAGCATTTTTGGGCTTTTGGGGTGGTTTAGGGTGCAGGGGTAGTTTAGGAGTGGTTTTGAGTAGGAATGGATCTCCTGGCCTGAATACTTAGTTCAATTCGCGTATAGTCCCTGCACTTATACTACAATGAACCCGAAAGCCCCTAACTAAACCCTAAACCCTGAACCCTAAACCCTCAAGAAAAAACAAAACAGAAATTGATTGGTGCTGTTGGCCGTCCGGAAACCTATTTTTCACGGTCGGGACAAGCCCTCTCCACTTTCCAATAAACCAATTTCCGACTCCAGCCCAGCCCACCAATTCCAAAAACAGGTTTCAGCCAACCTTTCCTTCAGTCAGCCTAGTCCAAGAAAACCCCTCTCACACCCAGCCCAGCCCAACCCAGCCTTCCAGCCAAGCCCAGTAAACCTGGTTAAAACTTACGGTCCAAACGTTTCGGTCAAAACTTATTGGCACCCAAACCATTAACAATTTCTATGGACATTTGTAGTAATTGTAGCATAGTATACTCGAAAACTTGCATGCGTCCCAACACTCTTGCGGGCTTCGGTCGGCCCTCTATCTATCCTAACCACGTAAAACCCTGGGCTTGGGCATCTCGGGCCTGAGTCTAGGATTTTTGGGCTATAGGTTTGGGCTATAATTCATTACACAGGTCTAGGGTTCAAGAGCTTTGGGGTTTCGGGCCTCAGTTTGACACAGCGCTCCCACAAATCACTGAAAAGACTGCGACTGGGCCAGAAGGCTGTCAACAAAAAGGCGTAGAAGCATCCCCACCCCCCAACCCGAGCATCCCGAGTCCATACTTCTTGGGCATAGCTGTTGTGATGGATTTAGGGTTGAGGTTTAGGTTTTAGGGTTTTTAGGTTTAGGGTTTAGGGTTTAGGTTTAAGGGTTTAGGGGTTTAGGGTTTAGGTTTAGGGTTTAGGGTTTACAGGACTTCTACAACCAGCTCCGGGACAAGGTGAAGGACATCAGTGAAGGCCAGCCTGTATCAGGCTTCTCCAAAAGCTTCCACGCAGAGCAGCTCTAGGGGCCTCGAAAAAAAGGGGCCTTAACAACTACCTATACTTTATTTGGGGGGTTCCTTATTAGATGTAGAGTACAATGTACCCCAAAACCCTATTCTAATTATTAAGGTCCCTACATGAGGCTTGAGGCTTCCAGCATTAGCGAGATTCGCTTCATTTACAACTCGCATCCGTACACCCTAGCAGGCCTAAACTAGGCCCTAAGACCTTCAGGCCTTAAGCCATACTTTGCAGGACTTTTTGCCTCAAGCCAGGCCCTTGAGGGCTTGTGAAGGGTTGTCCTCGGCTAGGGTTGATAGCATGCAGGTTTAGGTTGAAGGGTTTAGGAGTTTAGGGTTGAGGGTGCCGCGTTGTCTGCCGTCTTTGTGCGGTGTGACTGGCTGTTCTTGTGCCTCGGGCTTGCGACAGCCATCGGACGAGGGGTGAACCTACCGATGCTGCTGGCCTATGTGATGGCTAGAGCGACGGCTGCGAAAAAGAAGCAGCCAGGGTTGTTACACAGGGACTTGGACTTGTCCTATGCTGTTCACCTCGCTTCTTACCGAAGATCACATCTTACGGAAGGATAAAACCCATAGATCACACCCCGAATCAAAGCGTGAAGATTTTCGAGAAATCATGAAGGTGGCAAGGAATCCGAGATCATCACAAGAGCTTACAAGTATAAATGGTGCAGGGCTGCCCCCCCCCTCCCACCGCATTGTAGCCTCCCCTCTCTCCCGCCCGCCCCCCTCCCCTATGGGGTGGGGCCTGTGGCGGTACCTTCTCCTTGCATCCCACCCCGCCCTGTGATTTCGTTGTTGTGGGGGGCTCTGTACCACTCTTGGCTGCGTTTGTTGATTATTTCGTTATTGCGAATTATTTAAGTGTTCATGAATATCTATGAATATCTATAAATTGATCTTTTTTAATATATTTCTTTTATTTTCTAAAGAACAAATATATAGAATAAATAGATAAAAAGAAATGACACTTAATTCTAGTTTAATAAGTTAATATAAGTCAAAGGCGGAATTAAATTTCTTATTTTTTATAAAGAATATAATTATTCGTTATATAATAGTAATAATTGATATTTACATATTTTTTCTTTTTGGAATTCGATTAAAAATTTTTCTAAAAAATTAAAGAATATGAAATCGAGATATTCTTTGCTAATATAAATAAAAAAATATATAGATATATATTTATATGATTATTTATTTCTAAGATTTATTCCATTTTTATTCTTGTTTAAATTTTGAATATTTTGATCTTATTTACTTAATGGGTAGATAGATTTGGAAATCTTAGGAGGTATGATTTCTCTATAAGATGATTTTTTTCCATATTATATTTCGAATTTCTTTATTTTGTAGGTCTTATATATTAAGATTTGATTCCGGCCTTTTATAAGACATAGAAGTAAATTAAGAATGAATAGGAGCGATATATTTTTTAGAGTGGATAAGTATATATTTGATAAGTAAATATATCGTATTTGTAGTCTTGGAGACTCTTAGCAGTATATTCTTCTTAGAAAGACGAGGTTTATAGATATTATATCATACTCTTGAAATCTCTAATATTTGGTTGCCCCAACTGGAACTGCAAAATTATTCCGAAAAATCTAAAAATATCTAAAGCCCGTATTTTCGGGATAATTATTTTAATGCCCCTAAAATATTGAATTATTCTTGAAATTTTGATTTGATAAAACCAGAATTTAGGGG